TGTTTTGTGTATAAACTTTAAGCTTTTATTCTCTGTTCACTGGAGGCCTCAGACTGTCAGACAAAGTGCACATTCACCACCAGCGCTCTGCGCGCGTTAAGCCCCACCCCGCATGCGCGCACACGGCTGTTACACCCTCGTGCCGGGCAGTTGAGCTCAGAGGAAGGCATGCCGACGCCGCCATCTTGGACTTTTTAACAGAAACTGTTTTCAAGATAAAATGTATGTAAATACATAAGCTCTTACCTCAGCGGCTTCCTTCTCAAACTTCTCGATGGTTCTCTTGTCAATTCCTCCGCACTTGTAGATCAAGTGACCGGTGGAGGTGGACTTGCCGGAGTCGACATGGCCAATGACCACGATGTTAATGTGGGTCTTTTCCTTTGCCATTGTTTTAGTTTCTGTGGGCAAGATTAAATAAAAATAAAATTGCGTTAGTCTTACTACTAAGTACCAGTTAGGCTTCGTTAACAGACATGTATGTACAACTAAGCTATCGCATCTTGAGCCCGGCTACATTAGGAAACCATCCCGGCATGTAGGCATAATGAAAGGCGGTGGGAAAAAAAGAAAGAGAAAGCCTACTGAAACGTATTGTCTTTTTAGTTTATACGGAGTTAAAAACTGAAATTCAACTCCATGGCTACTTAGTCGCTAGGCTTTAGCCGCTAGTAGGCGGCTGCTACTGCTAGGCCTCACTCGGCCACAAGCCAGCCGAGACACGTGTTACTCCACTGGGCCACGTCGGATAAAGTTACAAAGATCGCCAAATATTCAGAAGCTGTCTTGTCCGGACTTCAAGCAGCTGTTGCCGGATAAATACGGGCAGTTGTTTGAGTGAGGAGAGAGAAGAAATGCCATTCAAGCATCTTCGGATCTCCGGTCTTGCAGCCCTCCTTTGTTCCCGTTGCCCACTGTACATTTTCTCCTCCCTCGTAAAAAATCTTTCGTCAAAAGTTTAAAAACAGCATCCAGTAAACCCACTAACGCACAAACCTCGCAAAAAAACTATCATGTTAAATACAATCAGGCGAGAACGACCTTTACCATTTTTTAGGGTTAATTCCCTCGAAAATTAAATCCACAGGTTAGTGTCAAGTTACGTAACCGAAAAAGCAAAGTTTGGGATTAAACGAAAGAAGCACAAAGAAGATGCTAACGCCTGAACAAATCACGTTTAACTACAACCTTTAAAGGCCCGAGGCCGGGCCCCTCTCTATGTGAAGAATGGGAGCTAAACTCACCGGTGTTTCTGGGTTTTCACGGCCAAAGCTGCTGCCCCTAAGCCAGGTAACAGAAAGAGGAAGACTGGGGCCGGACTGGGAGGTTTTATACTCAATGGGAGGCGGCCTCGTTTCCCGTCACCCTCCCCGGCGCAAAACCCCGCAAATCACACACATTCCTGCAAAAAACGTCAGCACGCCGCCGAATGAAGCCCTGCAACATGCATCATGTCTCATCAGTGATGTGAATAAAATTCAGCAGCAAAAAACATGATAATAATAATTAATTAATTAAATTAAAAAAATATCCAGGGGAGAAACGAGGGTAACTTAAAAGATACAGAAAAACACATCTTTAAAGTTAGATTTCACACAAATTCCTCCACTTTTATTATGAAAAGGTGCACACTTTTACATTTTCCAGACATCAGAACACAAAATGCTAGGATGCTGAGGGAAAATAATAATAATCTACTTTAATGCTGAAATATGTGTAGTATTGTTGTACATTAAAGAGTACTTTTATTATATTTTAGGTTTTTTTTTGTTAGGTATAAATTATGTAATTTGGCAGCACCTATAGAGCTTTTAGAAAGAAAACATTAGCAGCACTCAAATCAAGGAAGAGTAGTAACTAGTAGAATGTACTTTACTAAAGCTCCGTATACAAGTTTATATATTAGGTGGCCAAGAAATGACTGGAAGATGCATAAACTTCTGTTAAGGCAAAAAAAA